ACAAAACATGAAGAAAATAATGTGTGTGAATGTTGATTATGTGGGGTGTATCTAAAAACACTGTAACACAACAATTCACATTAAGAAAAATATTATGGTTACTTTTACCGTCATAATAACATTTATCCCTGACTGCAGCCTTTCTCTGCTTTAACTAACCTTGCATTTAACAGCCTGAGGAAGACATCCTGGCTACACTAACATCTTCTAATACAACAGATCTCTAATCAATATCTATCTAACTAAGAAATTACCTAACAGAGCCAACCACGTCGAAACGACCGGTTAGTACTGGCCAGATTAAGCCACTGTACCTAAGTCAAATTCCTTGTGTGTCCAACACATCTGGCTAATAAAGCTCATTCTGATTAAGTTAAGTACATTTTCTCAAGTACATACTTTGAGTACTTATACTTCCTTCTGTAAAAAGTACTAATACCACTCTTTAAAAATACTAACGCTACATTACCAGTAAATGTTGAGCATTGAAGTGCTGTATGTAAGTATAATCAGGACATTGTACTTCAGGTTTTAAAGTTGAGGTTAAGTATAGAAGTACTTGATGCAGAGAAGCCCTTTGTGACTGTCACATGACCTCACTGGCCAGTTTATTAAGAACCTCTGTGTCAGACTAAATGAGTAACCCAAGAATCTAGCAGTACATCCTCCTTAATGAAGGTCGTATCCAGACTGTTTGACAGCGATGTTGATTCACCTGTCTGATCACCATGGAGGCTACTCTGATATTTGGCTTCACCTTGTTTCTTCTACGTTTCGTTCCCATACTGTGTGCAGGGCAGCGGCTCGGCGGTTATTGACATGGAGAACATGGATGATACGTCGGGCTCCAGCTTTGAGGACATGGGAGAGATGCACCAGAGGATGAAGGTGGCGGCAGAGGCAGCGGCTGCCGAGGATGACAATGCAGATGATGGGGAGTTTCTGGGCATGAAGGGGTTAAAGGGCCAGCTGGGACGCCAGGTGGCCGACGAGGTGAGTCCCACACAGGACACCTTATACCTAACCAAAGTACAGAGAGAAGACATGGGTACAACTTTGCCCACACATTTTATGGTATTATTTATCAAAGTAGAAGAAGTCACGGAAGTCAGACCTGGGTCGGACTCAGAGACACAGCTGAGACTTTCTCCGGACTGTCTGAATTCAGAGAAATCCCAGAAGTGTTGGTCTGGGAGTGAACAGACTGATGCAACCGTCTGCTCCATTCTTATCATCTGCCTCTTACTGCTTTTAGGGCTGTAACTGTTATTTTACCATCGAATGACCTGGCAATTGTTGTCGAATAATCACTTTACCTATGACATTGTGAAAAATGCTGCAGGTGACGTGTGCCTCTTTCTGTCCACCAATAGAGAAGCCAGAGATGTTCAAATTCCTGTGATATGATGACAGCATCATCAAATTGTCACATCTGACAAGCTGGAATCAGAATTTCTGCTAAAAAAAGTCTCAGACAATGCTTTGATTATCAGGAGAGTCCTGCTTATTGCCTAATCGATCTATCCACTAAACACTGCGACGCTGTTGTTTTTAATAATTATTGGTTGTGTTAGAATAAAAGCCTACCAGCACAGAGAACTGATTGAGACTTTTAATGTGAAGCAGCTGCAGGAAGGGCAGAGTTTGGTTTAGACCTCTTGTGGGCATCCTGTCCTATTTAAATGGTTGCATCAGTTTCACCTGAGTCTTGTTACCCGTGTGAGGTGTCCAGGTGTGGCAGGCGGGGAAGCGGCAGGCCTCCAGAGCCTTTAACCTCTACGCCAACATTGACATCCTGAGGCCCTACTTTGACGTGGAGCCGGTGCAGGTCCGCAGCAGGTAGGGCCCCCCACTTCCTGTTCATGGTTTCCTGTTTCCCACTCAGTCTGACTGCAATCTGCTCTGTCCCCTGTTAGGTTGGTCGAGTCCATGATACCCGTCCGCATGATCAACTTCCCACAGGTAGGCACATACTTCATACCTCCTCTCAGTGACAGACATGTTTTAATCTGAACCTCTGATCCAGGATCAGCCTCACCTGGGCCTGGTCTTAAAACTAATCCAGACTAAGGTGCTGATTTCAAACTAAAACAATCCTTATTATTCTTTATTCTCATTCTAAAGTCAAAGTGTTTATTTGTCATATGCACAGTTCGGAAACGTGTTTCCCTGTACAATGAAATTCTTACTTTGCCGTCCACATGAATGCCACAAAATACAAATGAAATATAAAGTAGATGAATAAGTAACACAAAATCTAAGGCACTTTAAGCAGCAAATGAAGAGATATAATAAAAATATATAAGAATATAATAAGAGAATGTATGCTGCATGGGAGCAGCATGTGTAGTAGTCAACAGTCAATGAACTAAGAATGTAAACAGTACAGGTTGTTCTTCTTTGTTCTTCTGTGCTTGCATGTTAAAATCAGTTCAAACCATGATCAGCTGAGTGTTGATCATATGACTGCAGGTACATCAGTGAACCCTCTCAGCATGCACTGGGGCAACAGATTCAACTTTTCCTGTAGGAAGGATGGCACAGTTTATCTGACTGGTCAGTGGTCGGGCTGTTGACAGGTCTTGTTGTGACACTCACCTGAATAGGTCAGCCATGTAGCACCGGTTACCATGGTGATTTATCCAGTTGAAATTAAGCCACCTTCATGATAGCAGAAAACCTGAGTTAAGCCCAAATAACACTCGAGTCCAGGTCCAGGTGCGGGTCTGTGTCCAGGTCCAGTTCTGTGCCCTCTGACAGTTTTCCCTCCTGTGCAGAAGATCGCAGGTGAGCTGTATGGTCCTCTGATGTTGGTCTTCACTCTGGTGGCCATCTTGCTGCACGGCATGAAGACTTCAGGAACTGTCATCGTAAGAGCGAACACTCAACATGTGAAACAGTAAAGTTTTTCTGGTGTTTTGGTTGGACATTAACTGAGCTTTTCTAACTCCTAACTCAGTCTTTAGCCGAGGGCTTCACACACTGTCACCTGCGCTGTGAATGTGATCAGCATGGATGAGAAGAACACAATCACTTGTATCATTGGCTCAAAGTAATTATTATAACAGAGATGGTCTCATCACATTTCTAAACTAATTTAAACAAAAGCATCTGGCTCCACAGGATTCATGTCTGTAGCTGTGTCCCAATTCAGGGGCCGCATCCTTTTAAGGCTGCATTTGAAGACCAGTTGCATCACAGTGCTGCAACAAGACTGTCCCATTTTGAAGGCTCCTTCAAATGTGACCTAGAAGTACTACCTTCTTTCCTTGGGCAATGGAGGCTCCAACTGGTGGAACCTCCATGCCCCACCCTGTCCCGAGATTCTTTGCACAATGGCAGAGAGCAGAGGAGCTGTCAAGGACGCTAGACAACAGGAGCAGTGCTTCATAATGCAAGAGTAGGAGCAGAAACAGTTGGTAGCATAAATTGGAAATCCTCCATAGACCAAACCGTCTCATTTCAGTACAGCCTGTAGTTCGGCTGTTGTGATCTATAGCGACTACGTGTACAACACCTTCATAGGCCATGTCCTTCATAGGCCATGTCCATTACCAACCTGATGGAGGACATTACAAGTGCTATGGATGAGAAGAAATACACGATAGGAATATTTATTGACCTAAAAAAGCTTTTGACACAATCAATCATGAATTATTAATGGATAAGTTAGAAAAATATGGGATCAGAGGAATGGTTCTGAAATGGATTAGAAGTTATTTGACACAGAGGCGTCAATTTGTGAAGTTGGGTGAATACCAATCGAGTGAGCTGGATATTGTATGTGGAGTGCCTCAGGGTTCTGTTTTGGGACCTAAATTATTTATACTATACATTAATGATATATGCAAGGTTTCTGATTTAGTGAAAGTGGTTTTATTTGCTGATGACACTACCATATGGGCATCGGGTGAAAACCTACAGCAACTCTCTGGACGGGTTTCACAGGAACTTGAGAAGATAAAGAAATGGTGTGATAGTAATATACTATCTCTGAATTTGGATAAAACTAAATTTATGGTATTTGGGAATCGCAGACTAGATAATGAACTTCAATTGAAAATTGGGGGAGCTAATATAGAACGAGTACATGAAATTAAATTTCTAGGTGTCATACTTGATGACAAATTCTCCTGGAAATCTCATATCAGATATGTTCAGAATAAAATAGCAAAAATTATATCGATATTGGCAAGGGTTAGATATATTTTGGATGGGAAAGCACTACGCATTTTGTATTCCTCATTGATTCTACCATACTTAGAGTATGGCGTTGAAAACTGGGGAAATACATACAAAAGCTCACTTCAACCATTGTATATATTACAAAAAAGAGCCATAAGAATTGTGCATAAGATGGGGTATAGGGATCACACCAATGTAGCTTTCATACAGTCTAAATTGTTAAAATGTTTTGATTTAGTGGGATATAAGACTGCAGTGTTTATGTATAAAGCCAGGAACAATTTATTACCTGGTGGAATTCAAAAACTATTTAATGAAAGGGAAGGGGGATACAATTTAAGGGGACAGTTAAATTTAAAAATTCATGCTATACGTACAACCAAAAAAAGATTTTGTATTTCCATAAGTGGGGATAATTCTTTAGTATATTACTTGTGTGGTGTAGAAGAGAATAGAAGTGAATCATTTATTGCTTGCAAACCAATGATGGTAAGATGATGTCATGGGGTAGGACTGGATAAGTCTGACTTCTTCCTACTCCATTCAAGCATGTACTAGGTATAAGCAAATTGATATTGGATTAGCATTTGTTGGATATGTGTAAAATTATGTGTGTTGACATATCGACTGTCTTTACATGCTTGAGAGAATAAAATCAATCAATCAAATCAAAGCATGCAGCCTCTAAATTGAGACACACTTGTGTGCCTCTGCAGGAAGGTGATGAATTTTAAATTCAGATCATAGCACAGTAAAGTGCAGATGCTGGACAGCTGATGGACAGTGTGTCTGCCTCTCACCTCCTGTCAACTACTGACAGTCTGTCTGTGCTGAAGTGCTGCAACAGGCCGTTGATTTACTTAGTGTTGTACAGAAACAAATTAAACTGTATGACAGAGCATTGCAGGCAAATACACACCTACTACTTCATTACTTTAATGTTACTGCATGGTACTGTCCGTTACAGAGAGAGGGCACTCTGATGGGTACTGCTATAGGAACATGTTTCGGATACTGGCTCGGTGTTTCCTCCTTCATCTACTTCCTGGCGTACCTGGTCAACGCTCAGATTACCATGCTACAGATGCTATCTCTGCTGGTTGGTACCAGTACTACAGCTGCACTACACTGTGGTACACACAATATAACCACAGTACACAATACACACAAACACAAGATGCTCTGCCTGCTGGTTGGTGCCAGTACTGCATCTACACTACAGTATGTGCACATACAGTAGCCTACACACAGAAGTGTACGGTACATTTTGGAATGTTTTGTAACATGAGTCCTGTCCGTCGCTAGGGTTATGGTCTGTTTGGCCACTGTGTCGTCCTCCTCATCACCTACAACATCCATTTCCACTTCCTGTTCTACTTCCTGTGGCTGCTGATTGGAGGACTGTCCACTCTGCGTATGGTGAGGACTACATCTACCATGAGTCTCTGTTCTCCTTCAGCTGTGCACTCACCTGCTGTCCTGTGCTGTCCTCTCCCAGGTAGCAGCTCTGCTGTCCCGTACAGTCGGTAAGACTCCTCGCCTCCTCCTTTGTGGGACTCTGTCTGTTCTCCACCTGCTCTTCCTGCTCTACCTGCACTTTGCCTACCACAGGATTGTAGAAGGTCAGAGAGTGTACTTTATACTACATCTGATGTCACATTTACACTGACAACCGAGAGAAAAAGTTTTGTTTACAAATAGATGGCAGAACATGGATGCTCCGACACCTCTTGTTTGTGTCAGAGTGAGATGACCTGTGGTTTGGTTTCAGGGCTGCTGGACTCTCTGGAAGGACCCAACATGGCTCCCATGCAGCGGGTGGCCAGAGATGTGCCCGAATTGACGCTCAACACCACACTGAGGACTCTAGGGGTCCTGGTGAGGCCCCACACGCTTGGAGACGGCACCGGTCGTCTTTTTAAAATATAAAGTTTCTCATTGACTGTAAACATTCATTCTTTGAAACCTAAATGACAAAATCATCTCAGCTCAATGGCCCATATAGAATCTCATCATTTACTGTTGAAGACCAGGACAACTGCTCCAAAAGCTAGTAAGGGGACTTTGACTTAAGATGTTTTTGTCAGATTTTCTCTTCTTCAGCTGCCAATTCTATATTAATGTCCTCTGGTGATGAAGCTGAATGTTTCTGTTGATATTTGTACTTTTTTTTTTATTTCTGTCTTTGGGTTTTCGTTCTTCATGATCAGTTGTATTTATAGTGTCTGTACAAAAACTCCAATAAACTTGATAGACTTTGGTTTGAGTTACTGATGTTAACCGCTTGTTTGTTGCTCTTATGTCACAGATTAATGATGTTTACATCTTTTATTATTTAAATGCAAATCCTGCACTTTAAACTGAAATTTTTAACAAGCTACATTTTGGTGTTTCATGTATCAGTACAATTAAGGGCAGATGTTGATGTCAGAGCAGAATTTTGATGGTTATTATTTTCAGTGCTGGTCCATTACAGAGCAGGGTTTAACTGTGCAGTTAATTTTTTCTGCATTTTTAAATTTAATTCATACATTTGCTGTTTAACAAGATGTATTTTATATGATGATAGAGGGGGAAAACTGACTTCAAAGTAACCAAAGCTCTCAAAAGTTTACATGTAATACTAATGCTGAGTGCATTTTAATATGATGTAGTTTTGTATATATTATGATCATATCTACATTTTACACCATAACATTATTTCAGTAAAAATAATGCCCTGCATGCAACATTTGAGTAAAAGTACAAAAGTATCATTACAAATGTCTGGGTAGTATACTAGTCTTTCAGAGTAATTTCACTTTTGGCATTTTAAGGTATATTTTGGTTGGATATCAGTAGTGGAAACCAAGTACATTCACTTAAGTACAATTTTGAAGTAACTGAATATTTCCATGTTTGTTACTTCATGTCAGGCATTTTGTACTTTTTACTACACTACATGTACCTGATACCTTCAGGTCTTTTCCAGAATCAGATGAATCAAACCAAACCCAGTAGAACCATCAGACTCTACTGATCCCAGTGGGAAATCCACCAGCTACCCAGCAGGATGGAAAGTACTTCACAGTATAAATATATAAGGTAGTTACCATCAGCTCCACCTTTACCAGCTGCAGCATTAAAGTGATGCATCAGTCATAATCCAGCAATATCATGCACAGTAATGTAAAATGGGCCATTCTGCTAGATGAGTACTATTTTGGCTACTTCAAGTATATTTGGATGCTGGTAGTTTTGTGCTTTTATTTAAGTCTTAATTTGGCCATCCCTGATAGGTTAGTGAAGGAAGGGCATCCGGCGTAAAAACATGCCAAATTTAAATATGCGAATCATCAGTGCGAATTCCATACCAGATCGGTCAAGACAGGGTTAACAACGGCCGCCACCAGTGCTGGTGACCTACAGGGTGCTGGCGGAAATCGGACTACTTTTGGTCGAAGAAGGAGAGGAGGTAGAAGGATTCATAGACAGAGAGAGAAGAGGAAAGGCAGGAGTATAGGTCTGAGATTAGGGACTCAACGTTGGCACAATAACAGGGAAAGGTAGAGAGCTGGTGGACATGATGGAGAGAAGGAAGGTAGATATACTGTGTGTGCAGGAGACCAGGTGGAAGGGTAGCAAAGCACGTAGCATTGGAGGGGGATACAAACTGTTTTATTATGGTGTGGACAGGAAGAGAAATGGGGTAGGAGTGATCCTGAAGGAGGAGCTGGTGAGGAATGTTTTAGAGGTGAAAAGAGTGTCAGACAGGGTGATCAGTTTGAAGTTGGAAATTGAAGGGGTAATGTTGAATGTAGTCAGTGGTTATGCTCCACAAGTAGGGTGTGAGTTAGAGGAGAAGGAGATTCTGGAGTGAGTTAGATGAGGTGATGGAGAGTATTCCAAGAGGGGAGAGAGTGGTGATTGGGGCAGACTTCAATGGGCACGTTGGTGAGGGGAACAAAGGTGATGAGGAGGTGATGGGCAGGTTTGGTGTTAAGGGAAGGAACCTAGAAGGACAGATGGTGGTGGACTTTGCTAAGAGGATGGAAATGGCTGTAGTTAACACCTATTTCCAGAAGAGGGAGGATACCAGTAGGCGTTTGGTTGTATGTGTGTCCTTTGGTGCGCGCTTGAGAATTTTTTTCACACTTAGATTCATCGAAGTACAGATAGAACCGTCCTGACATTTCAGAATGAGTCTTTTGAAGGCCCGCCCAACCACACGTTGCAGTTATAAATGTACTGTCAGTCCTCATTGGATTCAAGTGTCAAGGGAGTCCTCTGGTGAAATGAAATTATGTCGCAGCTCTAAAATCATCATGTGATACAGTGTCCCACAGACAGTACATTTTCCTGATGGTGTTAAAATTGTTCTCAGTGGCAAGAAAATAGAGCCGAGGTTTTTCCGAGCAGAATTTTCATGTGCCTTGCTGCATGTGCGTTTGTGCGCGGGGTTGTTTGTGTGGGTTGCACATGTAAATCATGAGTCAGACAATCATACTTCTCATCAGAGGAGGAAAATTTAACTTTTTCTTGTACACCAGCCACTGTGTCGCAGCCGGGCTGATTACTCATGGGCAAGATACCAGCCAACTAGCTTTTTTTTTTTTCAAACCGAAAGGAGCTTGCCGTGATGGCTGGTTACCTGCCAAAGTGGATGGTGATGTAGACAAAGTGGTAATCCTCAAGACGTATTTTTTTTCATTTTCTCATGTGTTTTCCTTTTTGTTTTGCCAGCATATTTAGCGCCAAGCACACATCTCTGTGGTGACTCCAGAGTTCTGCAATATTTACCTTTTATTCTAGGCTTCTGCATAAACTGCTGCTGAGTCTGGCAGTATAAAGTGCATCTGTTCCAGATGGGTTTTGCCTGCAATGGTAAAAGCTTTCATGATCAGAAAACGGAGAGTAAAGAGTAACCTAAACAGTTATTCATATACAGTACAAGGTCATTACACATTTCAGTTTTCATCTGCTGCAGCTAAAATGCACCAGCATGTTGCTTGTAGTGAAACATGTCCTCACCACAATTGTCACTCAAGATAAGCTCCAGAGTAGCTGTCGGAGACCTAGTTAAGTCAATGACCATCTTAAACATATGTACATACTGTAAGAGCCAAGCTCTTCTTATGCTAAAACTAATCAAACTTGTTAAATATAATGTATTTCATGAGCAAACAATCTCTGAAGGAGTGACTGAAGCAGGCACCATGCTGATCTCAGTGGGCAGGACGGCACGAAAAAGCACAGCGGCACTGAAATACCATCACTTGGATGCAGAGCTAGCTGTACCAGAATAGCACCTGCTAGGGCCCCCTGTCGAGAGGGCAGGTGGTGATCTGGGGGAGAGCAGCAAGTGTGAAAACAAATCAGAGGGACAGCTCAGGTCAGCTGTAGC